GGTGGCAGTAGTGTTCTTTGACAAACATGGATGCCTCCAGTAAAGCACATTCAGATGACAATTACTCTTAATTAAAAACACTTATCATTTATTGAACAGCATGTAATAATTTCATATTTAAAGAACTTTCAGAAGCTTAAATTCTGAATTTGACCAAACTTTTCCTTTAAAAGAGCAAATTAAAACAATGATGTCAACATGAATATATAAACTATACAATATTTCTATCTAATCATTTCCATGTGTGAGCAATTTTTAAAGTCTCTACTTTACCTACTGTACATTGACCTGAACAAAAGACAGATGAAGGATAGAGAATAAAGAGAAAAAACAAAACGGTAAAATCCCAGCATCTGAAAGATGTGGAGGATGTTTTTAGCCTGGATCTAATTTTAGCTCAGGTTGACCTACAAATAGAAACTCCTCGCTTGGCATTCATGAATGGCCGGGGGAGGTGGTGCTGCACTGTGTTGCGGGGGATAGAGGGAGGAGGGCTCGGTGTTATACCTGATGGGCTATTCTTAGCTCCACTGTTGCCTAATTTCAGCCTGCTTCCCATTATAGACCGGCTAAAAATAGATGCACAGAAACTGGAGGTTGTTGCAGAAAACAACAACAGAATGGATGGAGGAGGCTGTGAGTGCAGCCATACTGGGAAGAATACATATAGAACATGGGAATAAAAATAATCAAAGGGAGATTTTTAACCTCTTAAAAGCCACCTGGTCGCCGGCAACCATTTTTAAAGCGTTTTAAAGCAACTAACGACTCAGAAATGCTGGTGACATTAAAAGTTCAAAGCCCCACAGCTCTGGAACTGTTATACTTAGAGGTCTGAAATGTGTGGGCTGCTCAGTAGAGCAGTGGGTAGCACTGCTGCCTCCCAGCAAGAAGGTTCTGGGTTCAATTCCTGGCCTAGGGTCTTTCTGCATGGAGTTTGCATGTTCTCCCTGAGAATGTGTGGGTCCTCCTACAGTCCAGAAACATGACTGTTAGGTTGATTGGCTTCTCTAGATTCTCCTTAGGTGTGCGTGAATGTTTGTGTTGTGTGTCTCTGTGTTGTCACTTGCTGTACGTTTGCATTCTGTTAAATTTTAGATAGATGCATTTGCATTTTATTGATATAGAATAAAGATTGGGAAAATTAACTCTGTTTCAATTATTCTTTCTCTTCGGCCACAGCAACCATAAGTTGGTGTCCTGAAGCATTAAACTTGCATTTAACCCATAGAAACCCTAAATCAGACATGTAACGTGTAGAAAAAATGTAATAAAATGAGACATGGCTGTTCTCAAGCATGTTCTTAATTAATTCTGTTCGAAAAGACCTATTATTTTCAGAAACTAGAAGGTGTTAGCTTTCAAAAGATGTGTCACACATGTAATTTGGACTTACAGTTCCTCAGTTATTTGCTTTTCCCTTTGGGTATGCAGAATAGACGAGGTTTATCGGAAATTAGGTGGGTGTTAAGAGGTATATGGAGTAAATTTTGTTCCATCAATATTCCATTCGTTACCCAGTCTAAGGGAAATTTCTTTGATTGTTTCAAAGGAAAACGTCATGGTGCTGAAGAAGTCTCCTTGGTGTTAAATGCCATTAGAGGGGCTTTGGGAAAGCAGGAAGGTGGATCAAAACCTCAGGCGTAACTTTCTTAAGGACTGTTGTGGACGCCCACCAATAATTTCAATTTAAAAAAATTGACATTTATGCACTATTTTTGCACGCCACATATCACTTTACTTGGATTTATCACTTTACTTGGATTAACACTTTTACTTGGATTTATCACTTTACTTGGATTATCACTTTACTTGGATTTATAATTTTACTTGGATTATCACTTTACTTTGATTTATCACTTTACTTGGATTTATCACTTTACTTGGATTATTACTTTACTTGGATTTAGTTTTACATATGCATATATATATATATATATATATATATATATATATATATATATATATATATATACAGAAGAGCTATATGTGTATATATTTTTAGCTTTTTTATTTTTTTTTTATCTTTATTATCTTATGTAGTTGGATGTGTATATATATATAAAACTGTAACTGGAGCGTGTAACAAAAGTAATTTCCCTCTGGGGTTATTTAAGTATTTCTGATTCTGAATACATTGACTTTGGCTCTCAACAATATTTGGGACAGTTTTCTAAATCTGATTTTGCTGCTTTTGAAGGAGGATAATCACTGATGTAGCTGAAAGGGAAAACATCCAATCCACATTTTTCTGGATGTATGGATGAATGAAGCTGAAATTGTGTACATACTAGGGAGGCATGGTATATTGCTGTTGGCATCGGAATCGGCTGTTATTCATCCTTTTATTTATACATTAATGTTTAACTACCCATAAATATAAATATCAGTGTATTTTTGTTCTTTTGTGCTCCATACAATAGGAAAGCATTCAATGAATGTGTTTGAGCTCATTTTTGGAAAATACAATCCCTATTGAAAGCATTTGTGACGAGTAACCTTAAGTCCATCCGCCACCACCCTTAAAGTGTCTCCATCAACTTTCCTCATAAAGTTACTCCCTTAATCAAAACGCTTTGTTTTGGTTCTTTTTCCCAACAACAGAATACAGAACACTGAGCTATTTCTAGACTCATCCTTTAGTTTAATGCTAAATTGATCCCCTGCTGTTCACTCACACCTCTGCTGCAAGCAGAACATACATCCCATATCTCACCTTCAGAACAACAAAAGCTGTTCTTTGTTCTGTGGTGTAAAACTGTAGTTATATTAAAAGGAAAACCACCAACTAAAACTGATTTTCTGCAGACAGACGTATCCAGTCTGTTCTTTGTCGGCTTTTCTGTCATCGGTTTATTTTTGTCCCGATGCCTTTGGTTGTTCTGTGATCGCCGGTCTTTGTCTGTGTCTCTCAACGCCGCCTCATTTCGCCCTCGGTTTATTCTAACCATTTGTCTGTCGTGCTTCTCTGAGCAGCTGCTGATCAACAAAATAAAGCGGAACTCATTTTAGCAAACTTCCTGAGGTTTTTTTTTTATTCAGTTCGCTCTGTTTGAGTATATTTCACAACCCGGTCTCATTTTCTGACACTTTATAAAAGAGCGAGCTTTCGGCTCCTATTTCCTTTTTTGCCAAATGTTTAAAAGTCATCCTTCTTTTCCTCTTTTCCCCAGAACATAAATCTTTAACTTTATTTTATTAGAAATTAGCACCTTTCTCTGAATGATCCTACGCCTATTCTTCCTGTCAGATGCATAAAACAGACTCTCTAAGTGGGATCCGACTTCTTTCATTTTCTTCTCATACTGATTACTAAAATGTGTCTTTGATGAAATCTTCCAGTCGTTTAATTCTCTGCTCTTTTTCTCTGGTTTCAGCTTTGATGTGGAGAATGGGTTATCAGTGGGGCGCAGCCCCCTGGACGCCCAGGGCAGCTCCGGTTCTGGTCTGGTCCTGCAGGCCAACTATCCACACAGCCAGAGGCGGGAATCCTTTCTCTACCGCTCTGACTCGGACTTTGACCTTTCACCCAAAGGTCCCTCCAGGAATCCATCCTCAGCCAGCGATCTGTGAGTTCAACTCCTTCACCTGTGATTGGTTAACTTCTTCTATCCTTTTTTGCAGGAAAACCTTTCTTGCACATGGAGTTTCTCCTCCTCTACGGTCTCACCAATAACCTCAAAATAAATAAAACTTCATAAAAAGATAATTTTTTTAACTCTAAACCTCTTAAATCTCTACTTTTCCTGATGATTCCTATGAACACATGATTTACATGCATGGTCATTATAGAGGGACTTTTATTCCATTATTGCTCCCAAAAAAATAAATAAATTAAATTACATTAAAACTTGGAAAAAATTAATCAAGAAATAACACTTTGAGCAACTTAATAAAAATCAAACATTTTGAACTTTTTCATAAATTTTCATTTTTCCAATTTCATTTATTTTTTAATTTCAATCCCAATAAATATACTCTTGGTGCACTGACCAATAAAAATACAAATAAATAGAAATGCATCTTTGTTCCATAATTCAGAGGACAGCCCACCCCAGAACGGAAAAGAATATTATCTGCAAATTGCAGTTAAAAAAAAAGTATTTATAGAACTCAATCAGAAACAGAGAAATTGCAGAAAATTGAATAAAATAAAATAAAATCTAAAAACAACAACTGGAAAATGTTAAATGAATTGATCTGAGAAAACAGCAAAGTTACTCTAAAAACCTCTTTTGTCTAAAAAAAAGATGTTTTATTTCTGGATTGTCTTTTATTAATCCATTTTTTAAAGGTGTTCTTTGCTTTCTGCAATAATGGATCAAAATTTACTCCATAGCTGGTAATCTGCTAAATAATCGAACAAGTTCTTTTCTTATTCAGTAACGCAATGTTTATTGTCCAACTTGGTCATTTAACAATAAACAGACACTGAGAGAGAACAGGTCCCACACTTTATTTAAGTTTATAAAAATAAAGTCATATTTGAAAGACTTTTAGCTTTTAAGCGCAGTAAAATAAAACACTACATGTAAGTAGGCCTATTATAAATGGTTGGAAGAGTAGATCTTAATCTCAGTAGCTGCCCTTCTGTTACAAATGTGTGCAAAGCTTGGTCGATATTCTGCTAACGTTGGAGAAAAAAAACATTTTCACCTTTGCTATGTTTCAACTAAATACGAAATAAAATTCAAATCACTTGAAACATTTTGTTCAAATAAGTATTTATCATCATCTTAATGGGTTTTTCTTCCCAGTTGTTACGGCTTTGTTGTTGATCTTATTACTTGTGTGGTGAGGAAAAAACAACACGCATCTTCTTAGAGCAAAAACAGTCTTTAAAATAAAAAAATTCCATCAAGCAGATTTATTTTTGTAGCAGCAATTCGCCCAGAATGATGGCTGATATTAGTGGGTTGTTTTTGTATCAGAATCGGCGCCTATGTCCATGTTTTCACCCGAGTCTTCGGTGTGTTCAGCGTGTACGGCGCTCCCTAAATCTGCTTTTATGTCATCTTTAAATTACTGATAGATCTATTTACTATTTAGACTTGTTTTACACCGACTAATGGAAATAAGTTTTCTCGGCGAGGACGTTAATAACAGCGTTTTTATTGGTCCCCAAATGGACTGCCCAGAAGTTTAGAGGAGGAAAATTTGTAAAAACAGGATTTGAAAAAGATGCAATTAATGAAAATCAGTTTCCATTCATAAACATTATACAGTAAAATAAAATCTGGAAAAGAAATAAATCAAAATAAATAATTTGTAAAATAAAATTTGGTAAATATAATCGAAGAACGCATCTATGGAGTCAGAAAGGGGTCAAAATGTTTGTAAACTTTTGTTCTTAGTTGAAACCGCACAGATAAAAGTTGAAACTGAAAAAATAAAAGTTGATATTAAATGTCATATTTTTACCTTATAAACTAAAAAAGCAGACATAAAATAATAAGAATGAAATCTAAATACACATCAAATAGTGGTTGAACTTTTAGATTAGATTAGATTAGCTTTATCGATCTCACAGCGGAGAAATTCACTGGTCACATATTGGCATAGTAATTAAAGAAGAAGGTGCAAACAAGGAGGAAAAAGTCGCATTAAGAATAAACAAGCAAGCACTGTATATACAGTTTATACAAGATAAGAATAAGAATTAAGTGCAAGTGTACATGTATCACACACAATGAAAAAAAATAAATAGGAAATAAAAAAATAAAAAATACAAGGGAGTAACACAGAAATTTGATGTAACATATGTATAAAGGCAATATAAATCATGCTAAAAACCTTTTTGTTTTTCATTCAGAAGTTTTTTTTATTTTTTATTTCCACTTTTAAAATGAGGTCACATGTTTTCAATAATATTGGAACAAAATTCTCCCCATAATGTTGGAGGTACTGAACACAATTTTAATAAAAATCTATTTTTCTGTTATATATCTAGTCTCTTAATATATATATCTAGACGACATTTTTTTAATTTCCACTTTTAAAATGAGGTCACATGTTTTCAATAATATTGGAACAAAATTCTCCCCATAGTGTTGGAGGTACTGAACACAATTTTAATAAAAATCTATTTTTCTGTTATATATCTAGTCTCTTAATATATATATCTAGACGACATTTTTTTAATTTC